ATGGAAACTTGAGAGTCACCCTGACTGACACCTGATGAAGAGACATGAGATGAGACTTGTGACACGGTAGAGGCGGTAGCCATAGCTCCCTCAACATTGGCCCTAGTGTTTGCTTCTAGTGCTACTGCTAGTTCTCTTTCAGCATTGGTTGCTGCTTTCCTAGCCCTCTGTAATGTCGTCCTCTCCCTGGCTTCTCTCCGTAGCCTCCTTTCTTCTCCTTGATCTAACTCCAGGAAAGTGATCGGTCGACTGAGTGCAGTTCTGTGAGTAACTCTAAGATCCTCCACTAATCTTTCCTCCTCCTCATTGCTTTCCTCTTCACTCATGAGCTACAGTGACATGTGATCTAAACTAGAATCCACACTGAATCCTGCCTCAGCATGACACTCAACCGAGTAATAACAATCAACTAATTTCGGTCAGCTTGGAGAAAAGTAGTCAAGTAGTAATCAACAACCAATGTTAGATCCGGAGAGGTAAATCCATTTTTATTTTTAGACTATTATGAAACTGAATGCAATGCAGCAGGGATGTACTATTCTATTTGCATATGTCTGTTAGTTGTTAACCAAGTCCGCAACAACTAAATAATCAAAAATAAAAATAAGTCACCTGTGGAGATGCATGTTGGATGGCAAATAATCCAAGTTCAGCGACGAACAATTTGCCAGAATCTTCCCTCCCCCTGTATCCCTCTTGAGTAGTCACTTATGTCGACGTCCTGAGCACCTGGTTGAGCAGCGCGTCTAAAGGTGTGCAATCCGGCCCACCGCTTTGCCCCAAGTCTATGCTAAGCCTGCCAGCCCTGCATTTTCTTTATTCTCACATGCAAGGAGCCTTACATCTGATTGATCTGACTGATCAAAAGGCAGTTTAAGGATAGCCCCCAGGGTCCTCAGGAATTATTTAACGCCATAGACAAGACGACTATCACAGCCAGGATTCAATCTGAATACACCAGAAATGTTTATAGACGGTCTGGTATGCGGCTCTTATACGGCTGGCATGCCCAGCATGACCTCTAAGAGCACAGCAAGCAGAACCAAGGACTTGCGGCAAAGCATGTGTGTACTAGTCCCAGCGGGTTGGCATGGTGACCGTGACCCGAGTGCTTCGTCCAGGGCCCTTCAGAGGCTTCACCCATCTCCCACCAGCTTGCTGCCCAGGAAGAATGTCGACTCTCAAGGTTGAGCGCTCGCGACGCCTCACATCGAGAGGACTCTCAAGACAGAACTCACTTCCTCACGGTAAGAAGCAATGAAGAGGGTAGATAAGGATGGGAGCAATGTACCTCATAATGCTGCCCCCAACCACAGATTTCTCACCAGCAACCTGACGACGTGCATTTATGATGACCGGTCTTTACCTTGGCACAACAAACAGCGAAATGCCAGCGAGTTCTCATCGTCCACCTTGGCTTGAAATGTCACATCAGCGAGTTCTCATCATCCAGCGTACACCCCAATGTCACCACGTAGCCTTCCTGGCACGCCCACACAATCCTGGGCCGCTGCACTGTCCAGAAACCAGAAGTGCACCGATATTACACCAATGGAGAACCAAAACACTGAATCCGAGTGTCAATGAGAGCATACTCTCGCCATCACCAACATAAGTATCCAGAGCCCTTCCCCCTGCTTGGCAATCAGCGCCCAGACTACTATCACACAGCTACTTCTAGCCTACGAATTGACAATGCAACTGTTGAAGTCAGCAGCAGCACCGAAGTACATGAAGATGTTGCCCCTTGCAGACTATCGCCAAGACTAGGTATGTGCCCTCACGTCATCATCCTCATCTCTCTTTCTCTCTCCCTTGTCTTGCACCCACGTCTCCGTCCTCATGCACGAAGACCACCACTACATCTTGCTGTACACCCAAGCTGAGCTGGCTATGGATGCCAAGCTATGGTGCTGCCCTCAGCAGCGCCCTGCACACACAACCGCACGTGCACCAGCACCTTGCCTTAGCGCAGCCTACAGCATGTGAGCGCAGGCTCAAGCAGCGCTGCCGCACAACTGGCAAGTGCCCGAATGCTTGGCCAGGCAGCGAGCTCTTTCCTATATGGAAAGAGCCTGGCCTGGTCTGCTGCCTGGCTGGGCTGGGCCTGTGCCCAGAAGCTTCCGGTAGGCCCTGTGCCCTGTGCCCCGTACAGTTACTGCGCAACTGCAGGTCGTGCATTCTGCTGTGCGTGTAGCCCAGGGCCTGCTTCCACGTTCTTCCAGAAGTGGCCCGGAGGCCTATGCAGGATGTTCCGGCCTGGGCCTGGGTTTTCCCTCAACCAGCTGACGCGACCCAACTGTCTGAGCCCCAAATGCAAAATTGACAACATAGGCCTCTTGGAATTATCAGGCCCGCCTTCACTTAGGGCGGGCCACATTTCGTAACAGGACCCCATCGAGATTGCCGAGGAGCTGATTCCTCACACAATTTGGTTGAACAGGGAATTAAACTGCCCAGCCCTCGATCCAAGCAGGAGGGGAGAGTTTGACTTTGAATCAGGGGAGAAGAGTGAATTTACAGTGATGAGCAGGGAATGATGAGGACATGAATGGTGCAGAGGTGAGGAGTGGAATGAAGCTCGCATGGGAATAGGACATCCTGATGATCAGCACCTTGACGGTTGTACAGCAATTTTTTTTACTACTCCCCAATGTCCCCATGGACAAAGTTAGCGGCTCGTAGGTCAACTGTAGAGAAGAGACTGTATATGTTGCCAAATTCAAATTCACCTGCGAGCAAATCTCCTACAGAGCCATTGGGGGCTGGACAATCTACTCAGCAAATCTTGTGTCATTGAGGTGCAGTGTGGCATACTGCGTAGCCACATGGGCCCTGCAGGGCCCGTCCCGCACTTTCAGCCTAAAAGCCTAAAACTTAGGGCTTACAGGCCCCGGTCATTTCAGCCTGAAAGCTGAAAAACGAGGGCCTGCAGGCCCTACTCCGTTTTCAGCCTATTTCTGGGCCTGAGGCTTTTCAGCCTGAAACGGAGGGCCATATTCAGGCCCTCATTGTGTTCGACCTACCTAAGACTCAGGCACAGAAACAGGGTTTCGGGAACAGGCCAGAAATAGCCTGTTCCCCACGCCAGCTCGAGCAGGAGCTGCAGCTGCAGCCCCTGACTGTCCCAGGCATTGGCAAGAGCAGCCTCCTGGACTGCTGCCTCGCCTGCAGCCAGTCCAGGCCGAGTAGTACATAGGGGTTCCCATGCACTTCCGAGGCAGGTAGTTGGACAGTAGTCAGGTAGTAGTCTTCAGGATAGCGGAGCAGCACTCAGGAGGAGCGCTGCCCAGGGCAGCTTAGCGCTAGTGGTAGTCTTCAGCGCTGGGCGCCATAGCTGTAGTCTTCAGCGCTGGGCGCTATAGTAGTAGTAGTAGTAGTAGTGGTATAGGAAAGAGATGACTGGCGGAGGCTAGTGGTACTTACCTGTGGCGCCATCGCTCCAGCTCCATCTTCGAGGTACCTGCATCACAGCGCCACCTTCACAGGTTAGTACTGGACTGAGAGAGAGAGAGAGTTCTTCTTCTTCCTCTTCTAAGTCCACCATCTCTTCTTCCCCTCTCGCTGCCTACTTCTCAGTATCTGTGGACTACGAGAGAGAGATATGACCTGAGACTTGACGACATTGGATACAGACTCGACATTTGGGATTCAGACATTTTGACGAGGGACTATTTGGGCCTGTGCKGAAGACTTGGTGTTGACGACATTCCCATCTTTCCCTCTTCTTCGTCTAACCCCCCTCTTCTTCGTCTGTGTATGTGTGGGGCTGGTGCAGTCTTCCTGTGTGAAGCGCCAGACCCCTTTCACACCCTGGGACGATGATGATGATGTATGTTCAGGGCTGCATTGCAACATTGATTGTTCGGATCATTGGTATCTAAGTCTTCCGTTTGCGCCATCTTGTACTTCGTATTGAGAGGTCAGTTCTTGTTCTGGTCTGCACGTTACAGTATGCAACAGTTTGGTATCGGAGCGGACCTCTCATTCAGAGGACCCGCTCAGTCAAGTAGCAAGCTTGCTTGATCTATTGATCTCATTAGTAAATCAAGTAGGACTTCGTCAAATCTCTGAAAAAAAAATTCTGGCAACAATTATCTGAAATTTCTGATATTCGCATTTCGTTTTACCTGAAAATTTCTGATATTGGTATTTCGTTTTTATGTAACAAATATCTGAAAATTTCGGATAAATCGCATTTCGTTTTGTCTGAAAATTCCCGATAGTTGCATTTCGTTTCTCTGAAATTTCGCATACATAGCTGAAATTTCTGATCTTAGTATTTCATTTTCTAGGCATATTGGGATAACGATAGAAATGGTCCTATTCTCGGAAACCGAAATTATTCTTTTCTGAAAATCGAATTTCCATTCTATCTCGCAAATTTTTTTTTGAAAACCGAAATCTTGCGAAGCCTACCAATATTGCGTTAGGCATATTCAGAGGTTCCCATATTCTCAGAAACTGGATTTCGTTCTTTTCTGAAAATCGCATCTTTACTCCATTTCGCAAATTTTTTTTTTTCAAAGATCGCAGTTTGTAAAAGCCGAAACTTTGCGGAACCTAGCCTAGATCTCGTTCATAGTACTCTTCTGACATGTCCTACTCATAATAGATCGACAAATATACAAAAAAAAAAAAAAAGGAAGTAGTCCTCTTTTATTTTTATTTTATTTTTTATCTGTTGATTAGGGCCGGAGGAAAGTATTGTTGGGTTGGTTGCCTACCTACGTTTTCCCTCCCACCCACCCCTGTGCTTGCATTCCCAGTTGGTATAGTGACACGTCAGCTACAATGCCACGTCAGCAGGGACACGTCAGCAACCGTGCCACGTCAGACACAGTGCCACGTCAGACACAGTGACACGTCAGACACAGTGCCACGTCAGACACGGTGACACGTCAGACAAGTGCCACGTCAGCAGTGCCACGTAAGCAACAGTGCCACGTCAGCAGTGACACGTAAGCAGTGCCACGTCAGCAGTGCCACGTCAGTTACAGTGCCACGTCAGCATGACGGGTGCAGCTCTGGGCATGCCAGGCCAACTGGCCAACGAGTCTCTGGCCGACTACAAACGGCGGTTCCAGGCCCAGATCGCTCTGATCGAGGCTGAGGAACAACGCCAGCTGGCAGCCGCGGCTGCCCGCCTACAGGTTGAAGAAGCGGCAGCAGCAGAGAAGCTGCGACTACAGGCCGAAGCAGACGCAGATGCCCAAGCTCGCCGCAAGGAAGCCCAGGATCTGCTGCAGCGGCATGAAGCCAACAGCATCGACAGACTCAAGTTCTGGGAACCGAACGACGACGAGGCAACACTGGAAGAGCAGCATAAGGAGTTCATGGCCAAGCTCGTGACCGGGTTGGTTTACACTTGTAACCACCTACAGTCCGAGTTGGCGAACCTCCAGCGGGCCGTGCGGAACCATAAGACTCAGCATGAGGATGCCACACGAGCACTGAACGCCCGTGTACAGGACTTGGAACAAGTTCCACCAAGTCCAGATGCTGGGGCTTCCAGCAGTGCACCCTCTAGCCGCCAACTGGAGGAACGCGTTGACCACGTAGTGGCAATGCTCGGCGACATCAGCACCTTCGCTGCGCCGACCACCATCAGCAGTCAGCTGCATACCTTGAAGACCGAGGTCCGGTAACTGCACTCGACGAACATGGATGGCAATCCGAAGCAATACAAGATGCCAACTTTTCAACTTGACAAGTTCGACGACTACACGCATCAGGACCCGGTGCTCTGGTGGGAACCTTTCACGACGCAACTTTGGATTCTGCCTGTCTCCAAACGCGCGTACATCGGTGCCTTGTTCATGAACTCAAAGGGAGGATGCACGATCTGGTTAACTCACCTGGCAGCCACCCACGGCGTCGACGTCGCAGATCTGAAGGACGAGATCACATGGGAAGAGTTGACACGGCTGTGGAAGAAGCGGTTCATCGTCGACGACGCACCTGCACTCCCCATCAACCGTCTCTTCACCATGACTCTGGGCAACACAGCAACACGTGACTGGCTCACGGAATGGCAGAAGATTGCGGCAACGCCCAATCTTGACTTACCATTTCCGCATCTGCGCCGTGAGTTCTACAACAGGTCATGCGCTGCATTGAGCCAGGCACTTGGTGATCGCGAGCAATACACCACCTTCGCTGAGATCATTGATAAGGCAAGGGAGATCATCAAGACCAACAGGTCAGCTGCACACRAGAAGTCMACGTGGCAGCCAACCTATGTGGAGAASGTGAGAACTGGTCCGCGACAGCAGCAGTTCGCTGCAGTCCAATCGGACAACACTGTGGAAGACCCGGCAGCCACCCAAGCGTCACGTGAGGGAGATCGGGTGGCTGTTGTCCAGCCGCGAAGCAACCACAAACCCCGAGTAAACGGGAAGGCGAAATCAGCATCGCCGGCCGGAAATGGACAGCCAGCACCACCATGGGTCAAGTTCGGCTTGACCGAGGCCGAGTACAAGTACCGCGGCCGTTACGGCTGCTGCTACTGGTGCAACAGCACAAAGCACAAGACCTCCCTTTGTGAGGATCAGGCCAAGGAGGATGTGCGGCCTCGTCTTAACTCGGGAAACTAAGTTGCGCAGGAGGTGAGGCGACTCCACCTCTCACTCCGCCAGATTCGACCACCTTGCTAGCGGCCTCCTACACATCTGGGGAGGATGCGCATGTTGCAAGTCCTCGGTACACTTACGAGGATTATGCTGTCCACTTGGTTCCACCGCTGGACCAACCGCTCCACGTGCAACACTCTACCGCATGCACGGTTTCAACACCATCGGCAACCGATTCGGCAGCTTCGCTGTCAGCTACCGCCGGGGATTCAATGTCATGGTCAAGTCTTGAAGAACTCGACCCGTTGACTTTTGAGGACTTCCAATGGATGCCCCTGCCCCGGTCCGGTCGCTTGCCGAAACCGCATTGCAACATGCTCAAAGCACAATTGCGGGATTACTTGCACACTGCAGTTCCGACTTTGTTGATGGACGCCGGAGTAGAGGTTGTCGACCTTCACGCCTACATTGCGAAGATCGACCGGGAGTTCAAGACGCAACGGTACGACGACATCGACGCACCATTGCTATATGTAAGCATTCAGATTGGAGAGGTGACCTGCAGCGCTTTGATCGATTGCGGAGCATCTCGCAACTACATGAGTCAGGACTTCATGGTACACGCCGACTTTGGCCCACGAGTCCGAAAGAAGTCCCATCCCACGCAAGTCACGTTGGCGGACGGTCACACGCACAAGTCAATCGACCGGTGCATTGATGACGTCCCAGTGTACTTTGCCCCTCACGCAAGTGAGGCGGTGTCCTTCGACATTCTGGACACCAAATTCGACATGATCTTGGGCATGTCATGGCTGCGAAGCGAGGACCACCCGGTGAACTTCTACCGCCGCACCGTTCACGTTCGTGATCGGAACGGAGTACTAGTCCCATGCACGGTAGCTCCTCCTCACCCTTCAGTCAGCTATCATGTGGTATCCGCCGCAAGCATGCGAGCTTCCATCATCAGAGACGACATCGAGGAGATGGGGGTGTGTTTTCTCCACGCCCTCCCGCCCCATGACGCTTCATCGACGAACTCATCTTCGGATCCACGCATCACCGAGCTTCTCGACGCCTACAGCGACGTGTTCGAAGGCCCGCACGGAGTCGTACCGGATCGGCCCATCCGCCACGAGATCATCCTCGAGGACGGGGCCGTACCTCCACGCGGTTGCATCTACTGAATGAGCGAGGAAGAGTTAAGTGTGCTTCGGGCACAACTCGACGACCTTCTGGAGAAAGGCTGGATTCGGCCTAGCTGATCGCCATACGGTGCTCCTGTTCTCTTCGTCCGGAAGAAGAACAAGGATTTGCGGTTGTGCATCGATTATCGCAAGCTCAACGCGCAGACGATCAGAAACGTCGACCCTCTCCCACGCATCGACGATCTTCTCGAGCGACTGGGCGGCGCCAAGTTCTTCTCCAAGCTCGATCTCAAATCRGGATATCACCAACTCGAGATCCGGCAGGACGATCGCTACAGGACCGCGTTTAAGACGCGATATGGGCATTTCGAATGGCTGGTTATGCCATTTGGCCTTACCAATGCCCCGACCACTTTCCAAGCGGCTATAACAACGGAGTTCCGACACATACTGGATCGATACGTACTTATCTACCTCGACGACATCCTGGTGTACAGCCGGAGTTTGGAGGAGCATGTGGAACACCTGCGCACCGTTTTGGAGCGGCTACGACAAGCCAAGTACAAAGCCAACCACGATAAGTGCGAGTTCGCACAACAGGAGTTGGAGTACTTGGGACACTATGTGACGCCACAAGGCATCCGCCCGCTTGCGGACAAGATCGAGGCCCTACGAGTATGGCCCGAGCCCACCAACACCACGGACGTTCGTTCATTCATGGGGCTGGCGGGCTACTATCAGCGATTCATCACCGGATACTCTAGGATTGCTGCACCTATGGTGCCATTCGTATTCGATGACGACGCATGCCGGTCATTCCAAGCACTCAAGACGGCCATGCTCATGGCACCTGTCCTTAGCATCTATGACCCTGTCCTGCCTACGAGAGTGACTACGGACGCTTCCGGCTATGGCATTGGGGCAGTCTTGGAACAACACGACGGCGACGATTGGCACCCTCTGGAGTATTTCAGCCACAAAGTGCCTCCCATCAACTCGCTTGGTGATGCAAGGAAGAAGGAGCTGCTCGCATTCGTCATGGCTCTCAAGCGATGGCGGCACTTCCTCCTTGGGCGTCGTAGGTTCACATGGGTTACGGACAACAATCCACTGACCTACTACAAGACGCAGGATACGGTGAGCAGCACGATCGGACGATGGATGTACTTCATCGACCAGTTTGACTTCACACCGAAACATCTTCCCGGCCTCTCCAATCGCGCAGCAGATGCACTCTCGCGAAGACC